AAAAAATCATCCTGAGTGAGGTAACCCAAACCCAGAAAGACAGTTATGGTGTGTACTCACTCATAGGTGGATTCTAGATATAAAATAAAGAACAATCAGACCACACACACACAAAAAAAAAAAAAGATTAAAAAAAAAAAAAGGAGGAACAACAAAAAAAAAATCTCTCCAGAAAACCTGAACCACAAACTGGGAGTCACTGGAGTTTCTAATCTGAATTAAAAAACTTTCTTGAAAAGAAATGTATCTTGATAATAAGACACACAAGATAGCTACTCACTTATAGCACTGGGAATTAAATAAAGTCTCATTTTTAAAACTTTAAAAAAAAAAGATAAGCATAGCATAAGACTCAGGAGAAAGTCAGAACTCTCTCAGAAGGGGAGTGAGAGGTGGGTTCATGGACTACTTCATGAACAGTGTTAGAGATCCACAGCACACACACCAGTCATACATGCAGGGCCACTGCTGACCTGAGCTGTAAACCTTGCTAAGAAAGAGCAAGCAACCTGGCCAAGGCACAGAGTGTGCCCACCTGCTGACCCCATTCTCCTGGTGGATTTCCTGGCAGGCTTTTATTAGGGGGTGGAGGAAGCCCTTTCTTGTGGGACCAAATGCAGGACATGTACAGCAAGACTTTCCCAGAAATCATTTTTGATCTCTGGGACAATCTGAAATTCCATCATAGCACACCCTTCAGGCACTTAACCATATCCTCCTTCAGGATGTGGCAAATCTGGAACATAAAACGAAAGGACCAACTTCATGTTTCAAAATGACACAACAGGATGTGATTAAGACATGGCCACACACAGAAAGCCTTTTCTTTTTCTTTTTTTTCTTTTTGCTTGTCAATTCCAGGAAAAGCAGAGGGAGGAGCGTAAACATGAGAACAGCCATGATTTAAAAATCCCTTAACTCTGGAGCAGGAACAGCCTCCAACATACAATTTAAAGGATTCAAAATAACAAGTCAGAGACAAAAAATCTTTAATCTACCTCAACTTCAATTGTACTGAGCATGCTTTATTGTTACCTTATTCACTTACTAAATGTTCATGGAGGGCCGACTACGGAGGCCACACTGAAGCAGGACGGGAACTACCTCACAGAGCCCCAGCAGATGGTGGACAACCCTCAAGTGGGGGCATGAGAAAGGCTCAGTGGATTTCAAACCTATGTGGGAGGTCTCAGGGTAGAACATGTGCTCACTACGTCAGGCTCCGAACCCTGGGTTGGATGTGCATGAACATACACGTGCACACTGGAGTCCGAGAAAGACACAAACGGTTAGCTCTTTACTAGAGTCTAAACCTCAGAGAGCCCATGAAAAGCACACACTTGAATTATGAAAAACTACAATGCAGGGAGAAAAAAAAAAATGTCAAGGTTCAGAAACAAGACCGAGCTAGGAGATACACGGTGGATTTTGTCTCGGAAAAAAAAAATGCCACCGACAGAAGAAAATCTGTAAGACCCACATCTGAGCACTGAACTGCCTGGTCTTCTGAGCCTAATGGCTAAGGATAGATGTCCCTGGACCTGAAAATTTGTTAAGTCCTCCAAAGCCCTTCAATTCTCACTGTCGTGAGCATCGCATGTTAACATATGTAAGGAACTTTGAAAACTGAGTTGATTAAAGGAGGTTTAATAGAACCCACACAGCTCGGCCTGAGTTAGTCTTACTTGTGATGGTTTTCGAGGTCCTTGGCTTCAGTTCCTGTAGCCGCCATCCTCTCACTGTGGCAGGACCTAATGGAGAAAAACATCACACGAAACATAATCAACCCAAATGGAACTAGTGTGGTGTGAGGTATCACTCATGGGGGAAGTCTGTGCAGAGAAGCAGAATTCTTCACACTTACATCATGTACATTATGGAAATGTATACTATATACACTGTGTATGTGTGCTCGCGTGTGTCCACATGGGTGGACCTCACACTTGTGCATTTTAGGAATAAAGTTCAAGTTTCTGCCGGGCAGTGGTGGCGCACGCCTTTAATCCCAGCACTCGGGAGGCAGAGCAAGGCGGATCTCTGTGAGTTCGAGGCCAGCCTGGGCTACCAAGTGAGCTCCAGGAAAGGCGCACTGCTCTTATATAGCCTGGGCTACCAAGTGAGTTCCAGGAAAGGCGCAAAGCTACACAGAGAAACCCTGTCTCAAAAAACCAAAAAAAAAAAAAAAAAAGTTCAAGTTTCCTGGCATCCCATCCCAGCAACAGTCAGGAAGTCTCTGACCCTACCAACCACACCCTTCTGCCTCGCCGTTCTGGAATCTTGAACATCCTCTTCCTGTTTCAGGACAGCAGAGGTTGCAGGGATTTGAACAGAGGTGGAGCAGCTGCCAGCTCCAGAGGATGCAGATGAGAGGGAAAGGACTTGAAGCTGATGTGGCCAGCTGCTGCCAGCCTGGGTGCAGAGCCTTGGGAGTGGGGGGTGGCGGTGGGGGTGTGACAGCATGTACAGCCACTGCTACTTCTTTGGTAAGGAAAGTAGAGCATCAGGAAGAGCCCATGGGTCATAGGCCACTTGGCAAAACTGCAGGCTGTATACAGGCATTTCTCAAGCCTGATCTGAAAAATCCCTTTGCTGGGAAATGTATTTATAATTGTTATCATCACAAAATCAGTAAAATTTGCAAACCAGGGAAAATTCGAGTACAGTTGGTTCCAGAGCAAAAAAATCCCTCTGCAACTGGTGCTTGTAACCTCTTCATCTGGCTTTTGTTGTAGCTTGGCACCGGTGGCACGCTTGCCTGGAAATGCCAGCTTGTTGCTGTGCAACCACGGGAGCCAAAGATGGAGTGAGTTCTATTGTTTTTGTTATGGCAGTATTGAGGGTGGAACCCAAGGAGGTCTATGCATCAGGTGGGCTCGCTAAGAAACATCACTATGCTGGGAAAGAAGTATCATCCTTCACCCTGTAATCCCAATATTCCCAAGTCAAGCACGGTGTAGGGAAAGAGCACTTATGACTAACAGGGAAGGAGAGCAGCTTTGCCTGGCATTGTTGCAGGGAGCACAGAGCTGGTGGGTAGGGAGAGAAGTGGTCCCTGTGTTATCCCTCAGGCTTTCAAAACAATTTTTGACCTTTACATTATTTTATTGGGGAGGGACATGGGCGTGCCACATTGTTATTGGGGAGGGACATGGGCGTGCCACATTGTATATGTGGATGCAAGCTGTGGGAGTCAGCGATCTCCTTCCACTGTTTGTTTTGGAGATCAGTCTCAGGTTCAGGCTTGGCAGCAATCACGCTTACCTACTGAGCCATCTTGCTGGTGCCACCTATTATTTTGACGGCACAGTACATTCTAAAGTTCGCCTGGATAACATGATTAGCATGCAAGATTTAAGAGTCAGAGACCCCAGAAAGCACAACAGCACTGCCGGCCTCTGCAGTTAAGGAATGTGAAACTCTGCAAATCAATGAGGTCAGCAGTTAGTGCCTGGACCCTTGCTTTGCGTCCTCGGGATTCAGCAGGTGCCTAGTGCCAAAGCATCTCTGGTGTGGTGCTTTGAATGAAAAGTGTCCCCCATCATCTCAAGCGTTTGAACACCTGGTCCCTAGTTGATGGTGCTGTTTGGGTGGCTTAGGTGCTAAGGCCCTGCCAAAGGAAATTATGTCGCTGGGGGCAGGCTTTGAGACCAAAAGCCCCTGCCCTGCTCTCTGCTTCGTGTTTACAGTTCAAGATGGAGACTCAGTTCCCTACCCCTGCCTCTCTCTACAAAGGCTGCCTGCTGCCCTGTGCTCCTGACATGGTGGTCTTTGCCCCTCAGGAACTGTAAACTCAAATAGACTCTGCTCTAAGTTACCTGGGTCAAGGTGGTTAATCACAGCAACAGAGCAGTCACTGATGGAACGGGTCATCAAAACTGTGGGGATTCAGAACCAGGTGGTTTGAGCATGAACAACCCAATCTGGAGAAAATGAGATGGCCTCAATGGATTCCCTCACCGCAGAGTGGAACTGGTTACTACCTCTAAGCAGTTGGGTAGACAGAAGCCTGTGGGGTTTTTGTACTTCGGTCTTCTTTCGGCATATGAATAAACATACACGTCCTTTCTCCTGTCTAATCGCCCCTGATCTTGTGAGTGAACCTTGAGGAGGCACGAGGATAATGTCCCTTCCCCTCTAGAGCATGTCCGGCTGGGAAGGGATGCAGACACAGCACACTGTGAACCTGCATGCAGCATGTGTGACTCGACAAACCAAGCAAGCCAGGACATGAATGCAGGGGAGAGAGAGAAGAGAGCCAAGAAACCGAGAACACAACCAGAGGCCAGTCTCTTGAGTATAAACAAATACAGGTATTGGAAAGTAAAACCAGCATGCTCTTAGAAGGATAGGATGGGTTCCTAATGCTTCCAGGCTGGCAATCAGCCTAGAAAAAAGGTAGTTAGAATGAAACAGGCAGGCACCACAAGGGGACCCGCAGGCCAATCAGCTTTGGGCCCTTAACCTGTTACTAGCCACTTTTACAGCACTGTGGCCAAAATGCCTGACTTAGGAGCATGTGTTTATTTTGGCTCTCTGTTTTAGAGGGTCAGCCCATGCATCCTGGTAAGCAAGGGTAGCAGAGCAAAGATATTCTCATCAAGTAGAGCCAAGGAGCCAAGCAAGAAAATACTGCAGCTTTGCCCCTTCTGTGACAACATCTGGGCACCAAGTCAGGGATTTGGTGTCACCCACATTCAAGGCAGTCTTGCCCTCTGTAATCCTCGGGTAACACCTCACAAGCACAGGTAAACATGAGCGGCGCCTCACCAACACCCTAGATAATTTGAAAAGCAGTCCGCAATGAAGACTAACCATCACCCCTATAGAAACCATGCCAATAACAGCTTTGCTGAAAAACACTCATTAGGCCACGTGGCCAGGAGAATTTACAGAAGAGGGAACACTTCCATTCAAACCAAGAGGGTGGGGTCCACAATGACTCTAATGACAGAGGGTGAGATGTTGTCACTCGGGGAAAGCCCCTAGGAAGTCCCTAGAATCACTCAGGTGTCAGATAACCTGTGAACCCAAAATCACAGCACGTGGTCTACCCTACACTGAGATTTGTTGTCCTCCCACCCCAGAGGGTGGGGTGGGGGTCACGCAGACAAGCAAAATGTCATTAGCTTCCCTCTAGCTTGCTAGAGATCAGTGGCATGTGGTCTGTGACAACAGTTGCCCAGTTTACTTTGGAAACACGCAAAGCACCCTTCCACTCTAAACCCCCTTTCAGGATAAGAGCCCCAGCATCTCTCTTGTATTGTGTCCGTCCCTCAGCTGTCTTAACACTTGGATCAAATTCTTCTCAGCTTGGCAAGCGGACACATTGGAGAAGTGTTTTCATCCCGGGACTTAACACAGAGTTAACTAGCAATGTATCCCCTTTCTGGGCAGCTGGGTATCCACAGTCCCTCAGCCTTAGAGGCCCAGACAGAATGACAGGGGCAGGACATGCGCAAGACAATAATTCAGCCTTTCCTGGATTAACTTACCACTCATTAGGCTCAAACCTCAAAGCGAGCTGCTTGAGCAGAGGAAAACATCTTTGGAACCACACCCGTGACCAACAGACAATTACCAAACTCTAGCCCAGCCCAGAAAAAATCCCTGGGAGCTGCTTCTCAAGTGCTCAGAAGGCAGCAGGCTCATCTCTGTCCATGCTTGGGCTGGAGCTGAAGCCAATCAGCTAGGACTCACTCAGATCTTTCCTCTTCCTAGTATGTGATTGGGTCTCATTCCCACCATTCCCATGCTGTAAGAGCCAGCTGTCTGTGTCAGACAAAGGACTCTTGACAAACACAAAGCCCATGACACCATAGAGAAGGAATCCTTTACTACAGAAGGCCAACAGCTTAGCAATGCAAGGGGCAACCAAAACACAGATCACAAGAGGTAATCTCCAGACAGCTGTGTCCCCTCGAGTACCTGGAGGGGGCAGAGAGAAGGAACTTCGTGTCTGTTAGACCTGTATGGAGAGGTTCATAGTAAACCCCAGTTGTTTTGATTTGGAAATGGCTCCTGAAGACCCACCTGTTAAAGCTTGGTCGCCAGCTGTAGCACCATTGAAAGGTGGTAGAAGATTGAGGAGGGAGAGTCTTGTGGCAGGAAGTTAGGCCATCAGGAATACTGGAACCGCCCCCCACAGCCTCCCCCACATTATGTTTCCTGGCCACCATGACTCAGAACATGCCTCTTTCACTATGTATTTCCACCAAGATAGACTGTACGACCACGGACCCAAAGCAACAACCATGGACAAAAACCTCTACAACAATAAGCCAAAATAAACCCTTTGTCCCTTTAACTGGATTTTTCTTGGGATTTTGCCATAGTGACAGAGAGCTGACTTACACAATGACATAAAATTGAGCGGAAGCCACTCAAGTTCCTGGAACTCCTTCTGCCTAAAAGCAAAAGCTCCCCAAACGACTCAGCTTTCCCAAGACCCTGTAATCTTCCAGCGAAACGATGCTGTGCCCAAACAGCCATTGTCACCAAACTAGCATCCTTCCCATCTGCCTTTCTGAAGTCCCAGTTAAGCTTTTAAGATCATCTGGAGTCATTTAGAGCAGAGTGGGACAGAACATAGCTGTCATCCCCGCACTCAGGAGGCTGAGGCAGGAAGATGACTTACATCCCCAGGGCAGCCTAGAGCACAGAATGAGTTCAAGGTCACCCTGAGCTACAAAGCAAAACAAAAAACAAAAAACAAAAAACAAGGAGTGTGCAGGGGAAGGGGGCAACAACACGTCTGACAAAAACAAACCAGATCTCCGTGAGTTCGAGGCCAGCCTGGTCTACAGAACAAGATCCAGGAAAGGCGCAAAGCTACACAGAGAAACCCTGTCTCGGGAAAAAAAAAAAAAAAAAAAGAACCGGCTAGCAACAACAACAAACTCCCTAATACCATGCCCAAAATGTAACAGCTGAAATACATTGTTTCTCCGAAAGCACTTTTTTTCTTACCCTCTCAGAAGTCATGTAGGCTCCTCTGTGGCTTGGCCCCTTCCCTCTTTGTTGTTGTTGGAGCAACCCCTAAATTCTAACTACCTTCTGAGTCACCCTCTTTGAATTCTTGCTCCATTATCTGCATGGACAGTGATCTGCTCTCTTATCTGTCTGGTTATTGGCGTCTAATAACGAGTCTTCTCTGACACTTTACTCCGACATGGATTTGAGGGCAAAGAGCAACAGCAAGGGCAGCAAAGTGACAGTCAAGGGGGGAGGTGCACACCCAAGGAGAGCAGGGCGCTGGCCTCTGTGGGGGCAGGGATGACATCCGACCGGCTGACTTCCGGCTAAGATGACACGGAGGAGGACAGTATGGCCTTCCACGTTTGGGGCTCCTGACAGCTCGTTTGTTGAAGTAACATGACTCAGGAACACAGAACCTGTAGGTGTGGCCCTGTGGGGTCACCACAAAGGAGACGTGAGCCAGAACAGTTGGCATTGATTGAGAAACATGGGAGTCCAGAGGCCTGAGCACACCGGAGATAACTTGCTTAACTCAGGTTGTCGGCCACAAAAAGCCTCCAGAATTTTCACTAATGATTCTCAGGATTTGGAACCAGCTTTTCTTTTTCTCTGTGTAGTTTTGGTGCCTGTCCTGGATCTCGCTCTGTAGCCCAGGCTGGCCTTGAACTCACAGAGATCCGCCTGGCTCTGCCTCCCGAGTGCTGGGATTAAAGGCGTGCACCACCCACCGCCCAGCTTTTCAAGAATGGGCACAACTGGAGGAAATCCAGTCGGCAATGTCACGAGCTCAAAACCCAAAACAAGGACATAACTCCTCTCAAAAAAACCATATTTTAGGCTGACGTATTTCAGTTAACAAAAACAAAGGGAAACACTTGCCTCTTAATCAAGTCTGCTTGTCTCTCACGTCCTATGACTCCTCCGCCATCACTATCCCATTAAGAGTCAGATTTGGGCTTAGACCTCTGGGTCATCTTGCCAGAGCATTAGCTACTTTGCACACTGGGTAACCCTTGCTCCACAAGTCAAAGGGTAGGTGGGAGTTGGGGTCTACAAACCTCAAGAATCAACAATTAGGAAAAGCCCAGGATGAAGACCAAGATCACTCTCCAAGGGAGAGACTGGCCACAGCAAAGCCACTATGAAATACCCAAAGACTCAAGGAACTGGAAAGATGGTTCAGGTTCAGAATGCTTCCTATAGCCAAGAGTGGTGGGACACGCCTTTAATCCTAGCACTTGGGAGACAGAGACGGGGATCTCTGTGAGTTCCAGGGCAGCCAGGGCTGTTATACACAGAAACCCTGTCTCACAAAACCAAAAAGAAAGAGAAGGCTTCCTATGATACTGGGGGATCCCAGTTCATTTCCTGGCACTGATGTGAGATAGTTCATAACTACCTGTAACTCTGGCTCCAGGGAATCTGATGTCTTCTTCAGGCTTTTACACACACACACACACACACACACACACACACACACACACACACACACACGTAATATATCCACACATGCACATAAATAAAAAATTCAATACTTTGAAAAGGAGGTCTAAGTGTGGCGTGCACACTGGGACACTGAGTGGGGATGGTGGCGGTTCCTCCGCCTTTGTCCTAACCCACAGAGCTATTCTGAGAACAGATCACTCTTCCAAAGCCTCCCCAGCTCCTTAACCTAGGGGTAAATTTTGACCTCAGTACTTCAGGAAGATGTCACACTGAAGCTAACTTTAGAAAGCATTTCCTCCCAACACTCACATCCCCGCTTCATAGAGGGAGGCACTCACCCAGCCCTTCAAGATATCTGCTACTAGGGGTTGTGGATTTAGCTCAGTGGTAGAGCTAGCTGCTTGCTTAGCAAGCACAAGGCCCTGGGTTCAGTCCTCAGCTCGGGGGGGAATATCTGCTCCTGCCCCCAGCCCCGGGGCTGTACTCCACACTGACAGGACCTGCTGGGTTAGGACCTGCTGTCCCAGGGACCCGCACAGCACACTAGAAAGTAGTCCTTACCCTCTAACCACACCCAGGCTCCTCTATGTGCTGCTAACTCATTAATGAGATCTTAAACTTTAACTTGACTAAGATACCAAAGTCAGAGAAAGAGACCAGTTCAGTGCATAAAGACTTACAATTTTTTGGAATGAAATGTATATTAAAAGTAAATCTGTGTGTATTAGTGTGAGATGGAGAGAAGGGGAGGGGAAGAGGTTGGAAAGAAATTCTTCAGTGCTTATCTGTAAAGAGAAAGAAAACCTGGAAGTTTCTGTTATGCATATGATTTTTATTTTGCTTCCTTGAGGTAATTTCTTAAGATTTTTTTAGTCAGTAAATACAGAAAGAAGAAAAAAAAAGTGCATTTTGACAAAAAGCCAAGGTAAAGAAAAACTAATGCAACTCGTTAAGGCTTAACAGTGTTGAAAGTATAACAGCACCAGGAATACAATGTGTGCCCAAGCATCTCAGGCTGAATTAAAGACATGTGCAGTAATGAGGGTTCCGCAGACTAGAAGGTCCACTTGGCCTCTGAAGAAGGGAAAACAATAGCCAATTGGCTGAGAAGTGGGGGTGGTTTAGCCCAAAATGCAGATGGGGCGCAAACTTCACAAGCTGAAAGAGAGGGCAACAATGGCGGGCCCTGGGAATGGCTCCTTCTCCGGCAAACACAGCTCAAGTCCCCATTCAAGGAAGTTACCATGTTTTTTTAAAGGACTAGGTTACAGCGTGTGAATGGAACCAATGTGTTTTTGTTTTTAAGCGGAGATAGCACCAGCAAGGGGGAACTAAGGCAGAGTAGGAACTTAAAAAGCAGGGAGAAGGTGACAGAAGAGGGAGGTGGAAAAGTGTGAGGGGCGATAAAAATAAACAGATTTATACGATGTGAAGTGAGTTCGAGGACAGCCTTGGCTACAACGTGAGTGCCAGGAAAGGCACCAAAGCTACACAGAGAAACCCTGTCTCGAAAAATCAAAAAGAATAAAAACAGTGTGAACAGACATCTAAAAACTCTCTCCATTGCCTTCACGGGAAGCGCCCCTTTCTACCCCAGATTCAGGGTCCCTGGGTAACTCACTGTCAAGAGACTGCAGGTCCACGTCCAGGGAAGGCTGCCAGGGTGTGAGCGACCACCCCAGTCACCGGTGAGTCACTCTACCAATCCCTGAAGGGAGAGAGATGTGACAGTGAGCAGGGCTGAGGACTTCTGGACTCACCCTGCCAGATCTGCAATGAAGCTATCACCGAAAAGAGCAGTAACGTGAGGTAAGTCCCTTGCATATCAGTTAGTGACATTTAATACTCCCGATGAGCGTTTCCCGGTTGAACTGCAGCCAAACAACTCGGAGCCCATATTTTATGAGATAACATTTGGTAAATCAATTACAAGGAAATCCATATGAGTGATCAAAATGAAACTTTGTCCGGTCCTTCATGAAAAGGCAGGTGGTGTAACGCCTCTAGCTCTTATTTTCTGGGTGGCCTGAGCTGTGCAAGAGCTCTGGGTCTTTCTTCCCGGCGCGGGACTGGACACTCTGGAAGGACCTGGAGGCGTCTGTTGGCCCTTCACCTACTCATCCCTCACCTGCTCGTCCCTCACGTGCTCTCCTCACCCCTCCCCACCCGCAGGCTCCGCGTCCAGTGTAATGTCAGCAGCACCTCCGTCTGCTGAGAAGTAGTCACTGGCGAGCGCCTGGGAGAGCATCCCGGACCTAGGAGAGCATCCCGCGCGCAGTGCTCGCCGGCGCGGTGCTACCAGAGAGCTGCTGTCCGCCCACTTTCACCGCGCTCACCCGCCGGCTCCCGGCCGGGTCTTACCTTAGTAGCTGTCGTCCGGAGTCCCCCCGGAGCTTCAGTCCTCACCTACAGGCAGGGAGAGCCGGCGAGGATCCCGCAAAGCCGACCACTCAAGAGTTCAGTCCCGACCGCCCGGCCCGGCCGCGCGAATGGCTCGGAAGGCTGGAGAACGGTGAGAACGGAGCAGCGTGCCAGATCTTTTAAAGGAGGGAACGGACCAGAAAGGAGAACCTAGATGGCTGCAAACACGCCTCCCGGTATCTGTCACCCGCAGCCCCGCCCAGGGGTCACCGCCCGGCATCGACCCCGCCCGAGGGTTCAGATGATAGCACCCAGGGCATGGTCCTCCAGACACACCCCGTGCGCACCTTCACTGGCTCCTTTGCCCTTCACTCCGAACCCAGAAAAGTTGCCGAGGAGCCTCGGCCTTCTGGTTTCCTTTTGTTTGGGGGATACCTGACTATTTTAAGCCAGAGCCATCCCTGTGACTCCATAGCGTCCCTTCCTATGGATGAAATCATACCCAAAGCTGCTAGCTCACCTGTTCACAGGCGAAGAAACGATCTGGAAGCGGCTGTATGGCTACCCAAGGTCACCTCTAGTGCCAGGGCCCAGGTCCATCTGTCGGGAAATGGCGAGGGAATGTTCCAGAGATGAAAGATCGCGTGGATGCGGTCAAGAATGCAGAGCTCAGCTGTGGTCAAGTGTGTCCTTTCAGTATCTCGGGCCAGTTTCTGTTTTGTTTTGACTTTTTTTTCCTTCCTCTCCTGGTCCCTCCTGATCCAGGGATATCCTCCGTAGTTGAGGGAAGGCCAGGGGAGCGCTTGCCCAGTAGGGGAAGTGACTCATTCATTCAGTCACAGCTATCTGGCAGAAGTCACCTCTGCCCTGCCCGGCACTGTGACTCCCCCATCCCCCGCTGCCAGCCGGGCCTGCCAGTCCTCTCCTCACTCAGTTCCTAGCTTGGCTTCCCCAGCTAGCTGGCACTCAGGCCAGAGGACAAAAAGGCTTAAGAATGTGGGCATGGGGGTGGGGGTGATCCAGCCCAGCACAAACACTGTTTGCCTCCCACAAGCACCTAGGTTCCTGAGAATGGGCAGTAACAGAATTGCCTATGATCCTGCTCCTGGGAAGACTTAAGGTCTCTGCAGTTTATTTCAAAGAATCTACAAGTGAAGCCCGATTTCAAGTACCAAGGACTTCTCAGTCACAAACTCTGCAAAGGACTGAGCCTGAACACAAAATTGTATACGCCGTTTTCCATGCCTACACTCGGAAACCAGCATCATCAAAGACTGGCAGAGAGCAAAACCTTCAGAGCTCCAAGAGCTACCTCAGCTGTCTGGGTGAGGCAGAAAAACCCAAGGCTCAAGGTGTGGGCCAGTGGACCCCCAGGGCCTTGGCGCATCTCCGCGTAAGCATTGACATTAATAAGCAAAGGAGGGGGCCTATCTAAGGCCAGGCAGCACCATGGAATGACACCCCCCTTACTGTTAATGACAAAACCTGAGGACAAATTCCAACTGCCCACAGTCACCCAAAGCTAATACCATTTCAGAGAATAACCAGGGTATGCCCCTCAACTTCTGCCTTTTCCCATTCCTAGTCCAGATGCTGGTGCCAGCTGCGCCTCCAGTGCATGTAAAGATGGGCGTGAGAACAGCCTGAGCTCCCGCACCAGAAGAGGAACTTTCTCCCAGGAAATGATTCTGTTACCCTACCCCAACCACTAAATCTACATATGTGCATTTAGGGGCTTTTGTGTCCGATTTCCTGTCAATTGTAATTCTAGTACGAGCAAAAGAGGAAGAAAGGGTCCCCACCCCCACCCCCCACCCCTGCTTTCTATCGAACTCAGGTTCAAATATATATAAAATTATTTGCCTTTTTTTTTTTTAAACAAATTTCTGTCGCTCTGCTTATCACCTAGGTTTCACACAGCAAACTAGAGATTCTGGTTACAGTCTGTATCTAGCACCTATACAAGCTTTTTAGAGCCCTATTCCAGGACAGAAATTCCCCTCTCCGTGAGAGCTAGTTTCTAGAATACCCCTCATTGAGGGCAGACATTTTCAAACAGCCAGCTGGCCGTATTAGGTGGGGCCACAGCCGGTAACAGCCAGCGTTTTTATTGTTAGTGGGAGCCAAAGGAAAAGCTCCCTCTGCTTTGCGTGCAGAAGGACACGTACTGCTGTGTCACACAGTGTAACAGGCTGTCCACAGCTGAAGGTAAGACTACTATCTCACTCAGTCACACCCTGCCCCCTCCCGCAGCTCAGAGCGGCTCGGAGCTCCAGCCCTGAGGACTTCTTGCCAACCTCATGAGGCACGAAATTCCATGGCCTCCTGTCCTCCCGATGACTGGCCCTTCGATGGAATCCAAATAACTAAGGCGCCCTTAGTAAGGGCTGCATATTTGAAGGTGGAGACTGCCCATAGCTTCGGAGAAACAGGGATGATGGAGTCTCCCGGGAAACTTGATGAATTGTGCTCAGAAGTGGGACGGATGCTGGTGGTTGCCTTGCACCAGGTTATTGATTTTTTTGGGAAACCTGACTGGCAAGATGTGGCATTTCCCAGGTGGGATGTCTGGGAGATTCACCTAGCCCTGGAGCACTTGGTGAAGCTGCATCTGCGAGTTGTTGGAACACTGCTGGGTTCAGTTTGCTTACTACAAGGGGACAGAGCTGTTCTGAGAGGTGGTGGGCTGGGATGCACTTTTCTATGTATGCTATAAGGAGTGAGTCCTTATCAGATTATGTCCTCTAACTCTGGATCGTAAGTGAGAATTCAGTGCCCATAAGATACTTCTTTAGGCCGGGTGGTGGTTTAATCCCAACACAAGAGGCAGAGGCAGCTGGATGTCTGTAAGTTCGAGACCAGGCTGATCTACAAATCAAGTCCCAGGACAACTTGGCTACATAGAGAAACCCAGTCTTTTTGAAAATACAGGTTCTAAAAAATGCTGGGTGTAGTGGGGCACATCTTTAGTCCTAGCTCTCAAAAGACAGAGGCAGGTGGCGTTCACACCAATTTTTATCATCGATAATCTTCAAAGGTATGTTGATAGAAACTAAGGGATTGGTGATTGTGTCTTATCAGGTCAGAAATCAGTTTAGGAAAAGAATTTGGTGTGTCAACACAGGGAACCTACGGCCTCCTTCAGTCTGTTGTCATTATCTAAACCAAGACCTGCTTAGGATCGCTTAGAGCTCATTCTGCAGAAGCACTGTTTTATTCATTTAGGTCTGATTAAAGATCACCTCTAAGAGCCTTCCCGGCCTGGGGTTAGCCTACTGTCCCACCCTTGGAATTCAAACTCTTAGCCCCCCTTTGATTTGTTGATAAAAGTAATTGTGAAGTCACATGAATGATGCAGAGGGGTCCTTGTGCCCGCCCCCCATTTCTCCCAATAAAAACATCTCATAAGCAATAGGAGGTTGTCACAGGACTTGTCCTGTGGCCCTGTCTCTCCCCTCCCCCTATTTCTCCCAATAAAAACATCTCATAAGCAATAGGAGGTTGTCACAGGACCAGAACATCATGCAGGTTGGCTGAGTTTTTCCTGTACTCAGTTTTGTCACATCCGGGATGTCACCACTCAAGACACTAAAGAGTTACATTTACAAAGGACCCCCCTCATGCCATTTTCTAATATCCATATCCATTTCCCCGCAACCCCCCCTCCATCCACCACAGACCTGAGCCCGGCATCCATTCTCCTGTCCTTCATTCCTATGAATTTTGTCATTGCAAAAAAGAAAACATTGCATTCTCAGAAACTACCTAACTTGTCAGAACGGACTTTTTTCACCTGACTTAATTCACTAAAGCTTGCCGGCCCAAATGAGCTCGAGGAGCCCTTTCCTCTTCATTTCAGAGCGGTATTCCACCGTGGAAGGAAACTTAACTGCTGAGCCGGTTCCTTCCTGTTAAAGGGAAGCTGAACAGTTGTCATTTGGAGAACATTAGGAGTAAAGCTGGCAAACAGGACATAACGGCACACACCTTCAATCCCAGCACTCCCACAGCAGAGCAGGAGGATCTCAATGAGTTCAAGACCAGCCAGCCTGGTCTACACAGACAGTGAGATCCAGGACAGCCAGAGCTACCTAGATAGACCCTGTCTCAACAAAACAAACCAAACAAGAAAGAATGATGCTGGCATAACATTCCGAATCCCTGTTTTGTGTCTGAAAATAAGCTCTCTTTGCTCTGGGATGCATGGGAATGTGGCTGCTGCCTTGTACTGTAAGTGATGCACAGTTTGAGAGTGGACTGTTTTCATCCCTACCAACAATACCTGGACCATCCAGTTTCTCCACACCTCAGCAGCATTCCATGTTGTCATCACCATTTCATCCAGATCAGTGGGTGTGCCACAATGTCTTATCCTGGTTCAACCTGCACTTCCGTAATGGCAGAGGACAGATGCTAGGCATTTCCTAATGTGCTTGGGGACATCTGATTTTTTTTCTCTCCAGTGAAATATTTGTTCCTATCTTTTCCCGTTTTCTGATTGTATGTTTTAGGTTTTCTCTTTATTCTTGTTGAGATTTGAGGGTTCATTCTATATCCTAGTTGTGAATTCTGTATTCGATCTGATGCTTGCAAATACTTCCTCCCAGTGGGTGGCTGACTGTTTTGTCCTCTTTTAACAAACTGTCACAAAGCAAAACATTTTGTCAGCATTTGAGCTCATTTTATTTTGTCCCACTATGAATGATATTTTCGTTAGCAATCTAACAATGCTTTTCCTATCTCTGAGAATTTTGCACCATATGTTTTTCTGAAACTTTTTTTTTCCCCTGGATCTCACTCTGTAGACCAGACTGGCCTCGAACTTACAAAGATCCCCTTGCCTCTGCCTCCCTAGTGCTGGGATTAAAGGTGTGTGCCACCACCGCCCAGCGTTTTTCTGAAACTTTAATAGCTGTATAATTAACATCTAGGTTCATGGTCCATTTTCAGGTATGATGATTATGTGAAGATTGTGGGCTGTCTGTCTGTTTTGCCTGTGGCGATCCAGCACCATTTGTTGGAAAGGCTGTCCTTTCTTTGTGGGATTGTTGGACATCTAACGGAACTTAGTTAAGATACTTTTGTGCACCTATGGGGAGAGGGGTCCCCTCCAGTAGTGAAAGTCTCTTCCCACTAGCAATACTGTATGTATCCTTTCCACTCCCCTCTCCGCTACAACTTAACACTGGGAAATGGGTTTCCTAGCTGCCTCTTCCTTAAGGTTTTTGGTTTTTATCTCTTCTAGTGGATAAGCCATGTTAATTTCCCAATGACATTGTCTATTTGTCGAAACCTATACCAGGGTTTTGAGAGGGACTGTGTCAAACTTTGGTCACTTTGAGTGGTACCCAAGACCTTTGGTTTCTTGAATTCTCTTTGTAGAGCAGATCCAGAGCTGCCCACCTTGTCCACTTAGCAAGAATCTTGCTGAGTTGATATTATGTTTAGTTATGATTTGAGTATGTCCACATTCTGTAAGCTTGTCTCTAGTGTAGTGATGTTGAGGTAGTGGAACCTTTGAGAGGTAGTGCCTACCTTCAGGAGGGGTGACGATGATCTACAGAACAGATTTGTTCTAAGAACAAGTGTTGTACTCGTTTCTCGAAACCCCCAGAGACCACCAAGGAGCTGGTTTCCGATGAAAGCACATCAAGGGTCCTTTTATTGTCAGGGTCAACCTGGGCCACTGCATGGCAGGTGGAAGGAAATGTGGCGGCGGCCATGAGCCCAGGTGTAGAGAGTTTTTATAGGGAAAAACCACAAGCTGGGAATTACATGCTTGGGATTGGGTAGAAAGGATATGAGGCAAAGTGATTTTTTGAAACTA